GCGGTGTCCGATCCGTATGGAATAATTTTTCCTCATTAAACCTCATAACCCCTTGATTCCTCTCCCTTATTATGATTACAAAATAAGAATTAATTGAAAAAAAAATATAAAAGTTGTTTGAATTCAAAATTATATAAAACATTTCTAGTTCCAAGTTTTGCATTCAACAAAATAGTTCTTTATTTTTTTTTCAAATATTTTTTATTATTTATCTTTTAATTTATAGTTAATTATTTTTAACACTAATTATATGATAATTAAACCCCCATTTAATTATAACTTAAACTTTGAACCCTGAATATTTTCTTCCTGAAGTTTTTAGGTCCTTGGCTAGATTTGCAATCTCCATAAATATAAGAATTTCAGAGGAGCGCTTATTGCGTACGGACACCGCACGCAAATTTGTGTGCGGTGTCCGATCTGGACCACTGAAATGCATCTTTTTATTTGTTTACTTGTTAGAGTGGGGCCCACTCTAAATTTTTTACGGTCCAGATCGGACACCGCAAAGGCCTGCAACGATTTAACAAAAGCCAATTACTATGACAAAACGTCATGGAAAACCTAGCAGAGCATTGAGTTTGAAACCTCTCCTTTTATTTGAAATTTTTTTCTTTTTTTGAGGCTTTTACATACAAACCACCCAATTATGATGCATTTGCATATCTAACACCTAAAATTTTCCATTTTATATTTCTACCACACAAATCTTTCATATCATGTCAAAAATACCAGCATTTCAACTTTTAAATATGAAATACACCTTATCATGTTGTGTATGAGGAGGCATAAACATAGAAATCGAACTTTAGGTGTTAGATATGTAAATAAATAAGAACTAAGTGGTATGCATGTAAATATTCATTTTTTTAATAATAATAATTATTATAATGAGAACGATAATAATAATAGTAAAAGTCCAATTTAAAAAATCTTTGCAATTTTGAAATATAATAAAAACTGTTGCACAAATGCCCACCCCAAGCATGGATCTGTAATTATAAAAATAATAATAATAAATAAAAGTAAAATCAAAACCCTTCTAATTAATAGGGGTGTAAACGAGCCAAACACAATATTTCGAGCATAAAAAGTGTGTTCGTGTTTAGCTCGTTTGCTTAGCGAGCCGAACACGAACAAAAAGTCGTTTTGACAACCCTAATCACGCTGAACACAAGCCCCGAGAACATTGTGTGGAATATGATTTCGAGTTCATGTACGTCAATACTGTTAATAATTTTGTGCATATTTTCTGCTCTCATCTATTTAAACGTTTTTTATGGTCAATTAATTTTTTTTAAAATACTACTCATCAAATATATATATATATATATATAAATTGATTAGTAGTATTTCGAGCCAAAAC